TTGTTGCTAACAGCAATAACATGATATTACTTTTTATTAGGGGTGTATCGATACTACTTTTTGGAGGCCGATCCGATATTCCCGATATTAAAATTTAATTTTGTATTCTGTAAAGTACCATTGGTTTTAATTTTTAATACACTCTTTATTAGTATAACATTTATAATCTAACTAAACCATAACTTATGTCATTTAAATATAATAATGATCAGTTTTAGTTTATATTCAATTCAATTGCAATTCTAAAAGTATATAAAATATTTAATAAGTAATAACATTAATCTATATACATGATAAGTAATAAACAAATATATTATGAAATTTGAAATAAATATTTAAAATAATATTTAGCATTAATATATCTAAGATTTTTTTTTAGAAATACCAAAATTTCCAATTTATTAGAGGCCAGGTTGCGACGATGGCAACTGTCAATATCACCAGCTTCACTAAAAACAGATTCGAAAGAGATTATCGCACACTTTTATAAACAGAATACGCAAAAAAATAACAATATGACAGAATATTTATAAATTAATTATTATTATTAAAAAAATAAACATAAAAATGGATTTCTATTTTATTTATAAAAATAAATGATTTTAGATATAACTTTTTATAAAAATTTTATAACATTTTATTTTTGTAAAAACGCCATTTATTATCGGATCGGAAAATTTTATAATATTGGCCTATAACCGATATTTTAAAATGGGTAAAATATCGGCCCGATCCGATCCGATAAAAATATCGGTATATCCCTACTTTTTATACTAAAATATTTCGAATTTCTACATGTCAACTCAATCAAAAAAGTCCCATTTTCAGCCGACCCCTTTTGAAATTGTTAAAAATTGCTGAAATTTAGATCGGTAGTAAGAAAGCTGTTTGTTTTTGTTAGCTAGCGCAACTAGTTCTCGAGATACAGAGCCTTAAAGGTATGAAAAATGCAGATTTTCACCTGTAAAATTTTTAAAATGCTTTATCTCACAAATTTTTTAAGGCATGTATTCTATTAAAATGAAGGATAATTTATCGTTAAAATAGATTTATCTTAAAATTATGCCTATGTGGTTCAAGGTGAAGTACAAGGATTTTACTGAAATAAATCACAAGTTACCATTCATTTTTTTATGATTTAATTTAAATCATTTATATGTAATTATATTGGCTCTCATGCATAATACAATTACCGTTCATTTATTTCAAAAATATTTAGTCCTCTAATTAATAGATAAATTTCAAAGCCCCCCAAATTTTTTTTATGCTTTTCACATGGGGCAGCATCACAATATAAGAATTACAAAATTTTAATCAATTATTTCCATGATGAAAATGATTTCGGAATTAAAGCTGAATGGCATTTCTGGGTCATATCTCGCTGCAATGACTTGTGACGGAGTCGGTAATAGAGGTGGACGCGGGCCTAATTTTTTATTCACGGCCCACCCGCTCACGGTGGCAATAAAAAATATTCACGCCCATTCATGCTTACCACTAAAAAATTTTCGACCCGACCCACCAACTCACGAAAGGCAATATTTTGATTCACGCCCGAAAATTTACGGTGTTTTTAAATTTTTCAAAAGTTTAATGCTATAATTTTTTACACTTTTGAATTTATTCTATTTATTTCTTTAATTCCATAATCCATAATTACAAAAAATAAATACATATTATAAAATCCAAATTTTTACTTAGAAAAAGAAGAATGTCTATTTTTTTTTATTTCAATTGTGTACATCTTTCCTCTAATATGCGATTGGCTACAGAAAATAACCTTTCACTAGAAGCCGAATTTGCCAGGGATGACAAAATTTTACTCTCTAATTTTCTCAAAAAAGGAAATAAATTTTCCTGCTTCCAAAACTTCAAAATATTGCCATTGTTATTTGTTTTATGGGATTAATCTTTTAAATTCACACAGCTTTCATCGGTAAATGTTGATGCTTCATCAGAATCATCTAAAAATATATTTCATTTAGAATATATGGTTTTTTATGAATGTAGGATGAATTAGGAAAGTTATAAATGACAGTTGGCATTGACTTATGCATATCATCTAATTTTATATCATTTCACATTTTTAAGATTGTTTTGTAAATATCTTCCTTTTCTTCGTCTATTAAAAACTTAAGGCTTTTGAAATTAGGATCTAGAATTAAGCCTACCTTAAGTGCTTGAGAATAAATTTTAAAGTTTAAGTAAAAAATCTTGCGACAAGACACCTAAACATAAAAAAAAATAGAACTGAGCGTGACACTAGATGTTGTTTATAAAATGCCAGAATATTTTTTGTTTTCAGAAATTTTTCTTTTTTAAAAAAGAACTAAATTAAATTAGAAAATATGTATTATAATAATAAAATTGCAAATTTATATTTATAAAAAAAAATTAAAATTTCCATGATTCACGGGAAATTCATGTTCACGCCCAGAAAAAATTTAGGGAAGGCCCGCGCTCAGTCACGCCTAATAATTTAAAATTTATTCACACTAACGCCGTAATCCACCGTGACACGATGGGTCACGCGTAATTTCACGGCCCATGCCCACTTCTAGTCGGAAATACAGTGCAACGTTTACTAGCCAGGGATAGATTACAAAGACCTGTTTCAGAACAAATAACTTTTCCTAAAATGTTTTTTATATATTCTAAGGAAAATATTAAAGATATAAGATTTCTAATTTATTAATATACTAGCTTATAGCCCGTCAAGAATGACGGGTGATCAGAATTTCTCCGTATGGATAAATAATAAATTTTACCTTCATTTGACGATAGATGAATCAGAATAATAGTCAAATGAGAGGAAGAGATTATCCGTATTAATCATTCCAAGATTTCTATAAATTTTTAGAGAGGCCAAATATATTATGAAAAATATGGAATAAAAAAATATGATTTGTGAGTTATGATATTTATCAATTCTTTTAAGAAATTTTCCACATTCAGACGCAATGGTTTTTGCTCACTTCGTTTAAAATCTACATTCTTCTCAAAAAATCTTTAAATGCTTTTAAAACCTTCCTAAATACTCTTTTAAAAAAATACCTGCCATCATAGATCACAAACACTGTGGTGGTATCCACCCCATTGCAATGGGCTATGCTTTTCAATTGCAAATTTCGTGAACATTTTATAAATTGTTTTTATCCCAAATTTCCTGTTTACTCAAAATTCCCTGACACTTACAACATTAAAACTCCTTTATTCAGCCCACATTTCTTAGATTCTGATAAAAGGATTTAGCAGGGGGAAAACGTCCTCGTTTATATTACCTTGGTATTCATTATCACATCCATTATCTTAAATCTAAATTTGATTTGGATATAATTGATGTGTATTAAATAGAGTCTCAAAAATATCTTGTAATCAATACGCATAGAGGATTATTTAATACACAAGACTACCTTTTGGTATATCGTCTTCTCAGCAATATTTCAACGAGCCATCGAGACATTATTAAAAGGTTTTGAAGGAGTAGCTTGTTATTTAGATGAACCGGGAAAAATAGAGAGAAACACGAAACAAATTTAAAAAAGGTACTAAAATGTCTAGATGAAAATGGAATCAAGCTAAAAATAGAAAAATGTAAATTTTTTAAACAAAATGTCGAATACTTAATACACAATATTTCAAAAAAACGGAATTACAACTACCGAAAAAATACTGAGGCAGTAAAAAATGCACCAGAACCAACAAATTTGAAACAATTACAGTCATTTCTAGGGTCAGCAACATACTATTCAAAATTTATTTCGAATTTTGCAGCCAAAGCCAAACCATTATACAAATTATTAGAAAAAGCAGTTGTTTGGAGATGGACTAATTAATACAAAGATGCGTATAAAAAAATAAAGCAAGAAATAAGTAGTACTCCAATATTACAACAGTGATCCATAATTACCCATTATATTAGCAACAGATGCATCATCTATAGGAATTGGGGCAGTAATATCACATATAGAAGGGGGTAAGGAGAGACCAATTGCATTCGCCTCAAGAACACTAAATGCAGCTGAAAAAAATTATAGCCAAAATTGAAAGAGAAGCACTTGCCATCATATTCGGGGTTACAAAATTCAAAGAATTTATATTTGGAAAAAAATTCACATTACAAACAGATCACAAGCCATTAATGGTTTTATTTCACCCAAGAAAAGATATACCCACAACATCAACTGCCCGAATACAAAGGTGGGCTTTATTATTAGCCGGTTATCAATATGAAATAGAAGTCAAAAGTAGTAGACAAATAGCAAATGCTGACATGCTATCTAGATTACCCCTAAAGGGAACTCCAAATTCAAAAGAAGAAGCTAGATCAAATACAGGTGGGAGAAACACCTTTAAATACAAGCGAAATTGAAAGAGAGACAATGCGAGATGATATACTTTCTAAAGTATACAGATATACAATAGATGGATGGTCAATAAACTATGATGCATGTTTAAAGGAGTATAGCCAAAGGAGAGAGGAAATTACAACTGAGAGAGGTTGTTTATTATGGAGAACGAAAATGATAATACCACAACAATACCGAAACAACGTGTTGGACATGATACATCAAGGACATATCGGAATGGTAAAAATGAAGAAGAGAGCACGACAATACGCGTGTTGGCCTAATATAAACCAAGATATAGAAACCTGGGTCGAAAAATGTAGAGAATGCCAGGAACAACACGATATGCCTCAAAAGAGAGCAATTCAAAATTGGACAAAGCCACCAAAAGCATGGCACCGAGTACATATTGATTATGCTGGACCATTTCAAAATCATTATTGGTTGGTAGTGATAAATGCTAGCAGTCGCTGACCAGAAATACAACCGAAAGCACAATAAAAATATTAAGTTTTTGCAAGATTCGGATTTCCCAAAATAATCGTTTCTGATAACGGACTCCAATTTAGCAGCTAAGATTTCAATGATTTTTGTTAAAAAAACGGAATTCAATTAGTGCACGGAAGTCCTTACCATCCTCAGACAAACGGCATGGCCGAACGTTTAGTTCGAACTTTTAAACAGAGTATGAATAAAAGAAACGAGAGGGATTTAGAAACCAGCCTAGCTATTTTTCTCTACAATTACAGAAATACACCAGGAACAGAAACACAAAGTCCCGCTGAAATACTACTAAAATTTAAACCTAAAGGATTGTTAGATCAAATTTTCGAGCGGGGAAACAAAAATGAGAAGTTTGAATACCACAATCAAAAATTTCAGATAAATGAAAAAGTTTGGTCGCGCCTTTACAATAATAAAGAAAAAAAATGGGGAGAAGCCATTATTAAAGGCATACTCGGATCACAACGTTATGAAGTAAGTATAACGGGTAATACGATTATACGTCATACGGACCAATTAAGGAAAAGAACCGAAAATGTATTAATTGAAGAATACGAATTAGAAAAGAGTACTGAAGTAGAAGAGAAAACCGAAGAGATAGTAAACAAAGAGGATGTAATAAAAAATAACGATGAAATGAATTCAAAGGAGAGTGAGGAAGAAACAAGTCAAGATCGATATCCCAAAAGGATACGATCGAAACCAGATCGACTGGGGATAAATGATGTATTAAATTGTTGTTTTTTGTTATTTTTTGTAAAATGTTTATTTTTATTATTATTATATATTTTGAGATTAATTTGAATAATAAAGGCTAATTTTGATTTTTTACATTACAAAATAAAAGAATAAGAAAAACTCGTTTACTATTAAAATACATTACAATAATTATTTGGCATCTTGATGATGGAACAATCTGTGATGCTCTTCCTAAAATAATTGGCTTTTCTTGAAGCCAATTTAAAAGACTCATTCTTAATAAATCCAAATCCGAAATCTGTTTCCATGATAACAATATACAAAACCCTCATCTGGCAAAATTAAAATTTTTATAGGTACATAAATAATAAAAATTAAAAAAAATAAGGAAATTAATATAATTTAAAATTACAAAAAAAATGCTTTGCTGGGATTCGAACCCAAAGCCATCAGATTCGAAGCGACGCTCTTGCCGATTAGGGCACAGACGCTTTTCAAAGTTGATGATTTTTAAATATATATTATAAATAGATGACACGGCTTTTATACAATTTAAAAATATAAGAAAACCTATTTAATTTTGAATTTTAAAATAACAACAAACTTTGAATAGTATGTGAATATTCATCACCCCAAAGCTCCATTGTTCCTCACCAACCCACGTGATGATCACGTGTTTTTTTCTATCACCAAGGAAAACTTAATTCTCCTGTCAGAAAATAACTGGCATTTGATGTATTATATTAAATTTACTTCTTTTTTTTCAACAGCTACAACATGCCCACCCTTCACAAGCCCAGCGTCCCTCTCTCTGTGGTGGTGTTGTATCGAATCGCCCCTTATTGTATCGAATCGCCCCTTTGAATTGTATCGGGACGCCTTGAAGACGTTCAGGGAATTTATCGAATCGACTTCCCTTATAATGATTTATAATATAATATCTCCGATACATTTCAATATATAAGCGCGAAAACACATATTATCAATAATGACATGTACATTGGGGTGTCTGCATTTATAATCTATGGAACATTAATATGGACAAGGTAATATCAGCAAAACATAATAATTCATTCATTTTAAGACATTTGGGAAATAGGAGCTATAATATTCATTATTTGGGTATGATTAATGGTAATTAGGAAATAATGATTTGTAATGTGAACACATGTTCTATGTGTGAAATGCAATTTCAACAACATGTAATTTTCCTTCGGTCATGTGAAAAAAAAACAAAGCTATATTTTTTATAAATATCTCCTAAAATAGATAGAAAAATCCATTTTTAGGTATTGAAAATAATTGCGAAAATTTGCCGAACAAAGATTTTAAATAAAATTACAAGGGTATAGACATAAACTTAATATTTTATAAGGAGGAAAAATATATAATACGTAGAAAATAAAATATTTTTCTCCTAGGAATTACTCAGTATCCTAAGAAAAATAGAAAAATATACCATTTCTACTTAACCCTGCCATCCCAATTAGCACAAATTCACAAACATGTAGAATGCAAAAATTTAGTGAAGATGTACCAATGAAAAGTGACATTTGTCATAATCGTTAATTTTAAAGTTTTTTGAATTTTTTTGAAGAAAATATGTTAAAATAAGTATTAATAACATGTGTAAATATAAATTTAGTGAAGATGTACCAATGAAAAGTGACAATTGTCATAATCGCTATTTTTAAAGTTTTTTGAAATTTTTTGACAAAAATATGTTAAAATAAGTATTAATAACATGTGTAAATATAAATTTAGTGAAGATGTACCATAGAAAAGTGACAATTGTCATAATCGTTATTTTTAAAGTTTTTTGACGAAAATATGTTAAAATAAGTATTAATAACATGTGTAAATATAAATTTAGTGAAGATGTACCAAAGAAAACTGACAATTGTCATAATCGCTATTTTTAAAGTATTTTGAATTTTTTTGACGAAAATATGTTAAAATAAGTATTAATAATATGTGTAAATATAAATTTAGTGAAGATGTACCAATGAAAAGTGACATTTGTCATAATCGTTAATTTTAAAGTTTTTTGAATTTTTTTGACGAAAATATGTTAAAATAAGTATTAATAACATGTGTAAATATAAATTTAGTGAAGATGTACCAATGATAAGTGACAATTGTCAAAATCGTTATTTTTAAAGTTTTTTTAATTTTATTGACAAAGATATTTTAAAATAAGTATTGATAACATGTTTAAATAAAAATTTAGTGAAGATGTACTCTCTAGATAAGCGACAATTGTCATAATCGTTATTTTTAAAGTTTTTTGATTTTTTTTGACGAAAATAGTTAACTTGCATCGATATTGATTTTAAAATAGAAAAAAAAGTTTACCCAAATTTTAAACAAGATTGTCTGGTGAAAATTGGTAAAAAAAATAATAATTTCTAACTTAGGATTAGATATTATGATATAAATTTTGCATATTAATTTCTGACCCGATGAACAAATGTAATAAAATGCCAATTTGCTCCTGTTTTTGGGGAAGAATCTATTATTACCATGTTTTTCTCTGGCATATACTCAGGCAATTTTAATTTTACAATCTATATTTTTACCCATTTACATTAAAGAAATTTTAAAAATAACGATTATGACAATTGTCACTTTTCTATAGTACATCTTCACTAAATTTTTATTTAAACATGTTATTATTACTCATTTTAACATATTTTCGTCAACAAAAATCAGAAAACTTAAAAAATAATGATTATGACAATTGTCGCTTATCTAGAGTACATCTTCACTAAATTTTTATTTAAACATGTTATATATACTTATTTTAAAAGATTTTCGTCAAAAAAATTTAAAAAACTTTAAGAATATCGATTATGACAATTGTCACTTTTCATTGGTACATCTTCGCTAAATTTATATTTACACATGTTATTAATACTTATTTTAACATATTTTCGTCAAAAAATTTCAAAATTAACGATTATGACAAATGTCACTTTTCATTGGTACATCTTCACTAAATTTATATTTACACATGTTATTAATACTTATTTTAACATATTTTCGTCAAAAAATTCAAAAAACTTTAAAAATAACCATTATGACAATGTCAATTTCACTAAATTTTATTTAAACATGTTATCAATACTTATTTTAACATATTTTCTTCAAAAAAATTCAAAAAACTTATAAAATAACGATTATGACAATTGTCGCTTATCTAGAGAGTACATCTTCACTAAATTTTTATTTAAGCATGTTTTTAATACTTATTTAAACATATTTTCTTCAAAAAACTTTAAAAATAACGATTATGACAAATGTCACTTTTAATTGGTACATCAAATTTATATTTACACATGTTATTAATACTTATTTTAACCTATTTTCTTCAAAAAAATTCAAAAAACTTTAAAAATAACGATTATGACAAATGTCACTTTTCATTGGTACATCTTCACTAAATTTTTATTTACACATGTTATTAATACTTATTTTAACCTATTTTCTTCAAAAAAATTCAAAAAACGTATAAAATAACGATTATGACAATTGTCACTTTTCTATGGTACATCTTCACTAAATTTTTATTTAAACATGTTTTTAATACTTATTTTAACATATTGTCGTCAAAAAAATTCAAAAAACTTTAAAAATAACGATTATGACAATTGTCACTTTTCTTTGGTACATCTTCACTAAATTTATATTTACACATGTTATTAATACTTATTTTAACCTATTTTCTTCAAAAAAATTCAAAAAACTTATAAAATAACGATTATGACAATTGTCACATTAAAATATTATCCTTAAAAAGATCATATAAAATCATCAAAAAAGTTTCATAGAATCCACCTAATTTAATAAAAAATAGATAATTTTAAAAAAATAAAATTATAAAAGATTTCACCTAAAAGATTGTTTATTTATCTAATAAAATTTACAATATAATTCCTCAATAAAAGATGTATTTATAAAGAAGATTGTGAAAATCACTAATAAATTATATTAAAAAGAATATTACAATTTTACAATATAGCAGCATATTATTTTTTTTATTAAAATTACATCAAATAAATAAATTTATTTTCATTTCAAAATATAATAATATAAATAAAAAATATTAAATCATATCATGTTTATTTGTTGATAATAATAAAATATTTACATTAAATATAAATAAAATAAATTATTTTACTAAAATAAATAAATAATAATTAATGCTAAGCATCGATGAATTTTGAGTAATTTATTTTAGCCAATTTTTAGGCTTAGCCCATTTTTAGGCTTAACCAATTTTTAGACTTAGCTAATTTTTAGGCTTAGCCGATTTTTAGGCTTAGCCTAATTAGGTTTAGCCGATTTTTCCACCTAAAATCTCAGCTAAGCCCTTTTTAGTCGGCTAAAATTAGCCGTGTTGCGGTTTCACAGTAAAATTCAAAATTACATGAAAAAAATGGTTCCTACCTTTTTATAAAGAATAACTCTTGAATCTCCAGGTTCTCTACATGCATCACTTTTAGTATTATAATAACATTTATTTTACATTCAAATATATATCCCATATATACTTATCATTCACCAAATACTTTATCCGTTTAATTCCAATTAAACCACCAATATATCACATATTATGTAACCCACTCACCTTTAAACTTTATTTCAAATGTAGTTCAATTTATGAAACTACCTTACTGACCACATTAATAATATACAAACCAGAGACCTGCAGAGGCAACATTTGCAGGGCCCGGCCCGGTTTTAAATTTTTTAGGCCCGGCCCGGATATTTAAAAAAAAATTTTTTACGGCCAGGCCCGGATATTTTTTTTAAAAAAAATTTCAGGCCCGGCTCTGAATTTTTTAAAATTATATTCGACCTGGTATATACAAAAATTCACCTATGAGGTATTTTACCATATTTTTTAGCGAGTATTATCGCTTATTATTTAAAAAATACATGTAAAAAGCTAATATTTTGAGAATATTATATTGAATTTATAAAAATTATAAAACTGTTATTTATAAAAATGGATATTTTGAGCATATACTATTTTTTATATTGCATTTATAAAAATAACTAATATTCATAAAAATGGTAATAATATTTTCAGCATATACTATATTTTATATTGCATTTAAAAAAAATAAAACTAATATTTAATTTATAAAAATGGAAAATATTTTGAGAATATAATATATTGTATTTAATTTATAAAATAAAAATAAATCGCTATTTAAAAAAATGCATGTATAATAAATAGTATTTTGAAAATATAATCTAATTGCACAATATTAATATAATTTATTTTATAATATAAATTTTTAACAAAAGAAGATAATTGTATTATATAATATTGTAAAAAAAAATAATGAAAAATGTTGGATTAAAAACTTTCATGACTCAAGGTAAAATATAATAAATGCAATAAATATTTGACAGTTTGCAAAGTAAAAAAACCAGCATGATTGACGAAACCCTATACTCAAAGAAATATTAAAAATTCACAAATTATCATGAAGAAAGAGAAGCATATCTACCTTTTCAGGTTGAAGATTACTTCTTCTTTCTTCAAGAATTCTCCCAGTAGTGAAAAAATTCCGCTCACAGCTTGCACTTGAAGCAGGAATTGCCAATACCCGTTTTGCCAATTTTGCTAAAATTGAAAATTCACTTTGAAGAGCCGCCCACCACTCTAACAAATTATCCACCTTAAATGTTTCATCTATTTTTTTTATTTATGTAATTATAATATTCATCATCGGGTATTGACATATTACCAGAATTACCATCGCCCCATTTGTCATAAAATGATTCAGTTTGTTTAACAACAGTCGTAATTTGACTGGTCGATGGTATTTCATTAACTTCCTGAGCCTCTT